CCCAAGAAGGCTTTTATTTACTAAATACAAGGCCCCAATAAATACAACAAACAAAACAATTTTAACAAAAGATTTTTAAAACTCCACTCTTTCAAAATAATAATTGGCAACCAAATATAAAAGATTGGAACATTGGAAATTTGAATTTTAAGAAGAACGAAACGAAAATATCAGCTTTATTTTTATGTGAAATATTTCAAGACTATTTGACATTGCACGAACTAACTTGGTTAGTTACCTGCCGAAACGTGACCTAACAAACTAATCTTGGGAGATGATCAAGATGATCACAGATCATCGAAGCTAAATCCTAGAAAGACTTAGTTTTCAATAAAGGTCCTAAAATGAGGTACTAACCTGAAATTCCAAAATGCAGAATTGTCACAGTAAAGACAAAATTAAATAAAAAAAATAAAGTGCAAAAGCTAAACAATTGTCACCGAAACCAGTCCCTGACAACGGTGCCAAAATTTTGAATACTGTGGAGACCGAAAAATAATAAGTTTTAACTGTCCCAAATCACAATATAAATTGTAATAGTGGTAAGTCAAGTCTAATCCACAAAAATCAGTCTTGAGAATTATTTGACTTCTACAATTTAAAAGGGGGGAGGGGTTTGGATTTGATTAACTAATGAAACATAAGATTTAAAAGCAATATACTTAAAAAGCCCAATAATGGCTCCACCTTCGATATGATGCAAAATGTTTATCATCGATTCCTATGGTGTAAAAGAAGACAAGACAAGTTTAAACCGACTATGGTTGTCAATAGGCCTTGACAACCTCGATTTTCCCTTAGATAGACATCAACCAAAATAAGCTCTTTGATTAAATCTTAACAACAAATAAGGTTTTAAATAAGCTCTTAAATCCCCAGGTGTGATTAGAATTCACGAATTAGGAACTTCACAGGTTCAAATCAACAAGCTCGACTTACTAGAGCTTTGATTGCAAGAATTCATGGCATACATTAGGAAAACTTATTGAAATCAAATGTACCATTTGTGACTATCAAGATCCCCAAACAATTACGGATCTAGGGTTTTAAATGACTTTCATCAAATGGCTACCAATCAATTGATCAAATTAATTAATAAACCAAAAGATAATAACATTCATATGGAATTTAAGCAAATAAACTTGTTCAAACATCTTCATATAGGAACCTCTAACCAAATGCATCAAATAAAGGCTACAATATCGTGGAATGAATAAAGTAGTTACTTACAGAATTAAATAAGAATAAAATGGTAAAAAATCTTCAAAACCCTCTCCTTTGCTCTAGAAATCGCTTCTAGGTCTTCCCTTCTCTCGAAAGGCTGCTTCAAACCCAATTTACACTAAGAAAATAGTAAAACAACTTAAGACTCAAAAATTGGTGAAACTGGTCCCTACAGTGAATTATGCGACCCGGCGCACAAACCTTGCATGTCAGGTTAGCGTTTTGTGTACAGTATGTCTAGACACTATATGTTACCTTTGGGCATGATCCTCCTCCGCGACCCGCGCATGACAGGGTAGCATGTCAAGGCATCATTTTCCTCTTTTATGACTTTCTTCGAACATTTGGTCCATATAACCCTCTTAAGCACGCTATCCATTTTTACTTGTGTTTTTTCTATTATATCAACCTATAATGGAATGATAAAAACATGTTTAATGGGTTCTTTTAGCCACAAAAATGGGGATTACGTAGTGGATTCGATCATAAATAACATATTTGATACTTATCACATGTATTTACATTTTACCATATACTATAAGTATGCTTCTGTTACTGATGAGATCTCACAGAATCCTAGTATCATAGAAACCACCATGTCTTTTATGTGTTGTGCCTCACATGGCTCAACTTCTGCACATTTTGAATAACAAGTCTAGTCTAATTAGAAACAAAGCTCTTGAATCTTTCAATTCTTTCGTTCAAGAAGCAAGAATATAAACATGCTCCAACGAACATTTCTGCAAATTTTGTTAATCTCATCTTTATCCTCCATAAAGGGGATCGGGTGTTTCTATCCAACAAAGATATATGTGTATCTCATTGTTGACATAATGAAAAACTTTGCAATCTAGGTCGAATCATATCCATTCGTAAATTCTCGAAGACAAATGAACTAAGTTCTAATACACAAGAATAACATCCGGTAATCAACAATTTTTTTTATTAACCTGGATATCTAACCTGCTATGCGAGCTGACTAATATCAGGGCGACCACCTGCTTTGCAGATAGCCCGGAGTCACCGCATTTGAACCTCCGTGGCTACAAAAGGATTTTTTATTCCCCCTTGGATTTGAACCTCGACCTCCTGGTATTTTTGACTTTTGGAGCCAAGTTCAAACCAATCAACAATTAATCTGAATAATTAAAGTAGAGCAAATCAAAAGGAGATAGTAGCGCCAAATATTTTTATGCGGAAAATGCAGAAAGAGAAACTCATCGAGGAACACGAAAACTGATCCACTATCACTTTAATATTGTTACACTTGAGAAAATAAAACTCAAAAAGCATTGGAGAAATAAGCTTGGTTCATACTTGAGAAAGATAAGTAGGAGAATAGAAGATATACAAAAAGAGCCCCCTATACAAATAATAACTTAAAAATTAACGTCATATCCTTGTCGTCAATGACGGATCCAGAAATTTTATAGACACGGTTCCCTCTTAGTTGCATCCGCCCCTGCTTGTCGCCTTTTTGTACCAATTGGGTCTACTTCCAATGCGATCTCTAGGAGATGATTTGGGCAGATGCCCACCTCGCGTAGCATAGAAAAGTGGTCACCAAGCATGGATTTAAGGCACATCATCTCACACAGACACATATAGAGAGAAAGAGAGAAAAAAACGAAAGAAAAAGAGAGATATATATATATATATGAAACCTTAACAAAAACCATAGATCATAAAACATGCATGCTCCTCTACAAATGAAATATACTAATATATATATATATATATATATATATATGTATGTATGTATATATTTCCTTCACAACAGCTGCAGCATCTTTCCTTCACAAGATGGTCCTGGTGCACCTTTTGAATTCGATATCTCACGAGAACTACTGCTCGAACATGATCCTTGCCAATCGTTCCGATTGAAGTTCGATTCTTGACTAGTCTTCTGCATGGATGCCATCAGCTCGGCTGGAAAATTCAAAAGCGCCTTAGCACCTCTCATTTCAAACGCAGCCCGATCATAAGCCAACGCCGCATCCTCAGCCGTCTCAAACGTCCCCAACCATACTCTCGCACCATGCCTATTTGAATCACGAATCTCGGCTGCATATTTACCCCATGGACGACGCCTTACCCCTCTGTAGTGCTTACTCTTGCTTATAACACGAGTCGGTTGGAGGGCAGTTCGGGAAACAGCAGTGGCGCCAAAGCCAACGATGGTGCTGGCTTCGTTAAGGACCTGATAGAGCACCATATCTTGTGAATCATTCTCGTTCAAGGGTAACTCATGGCCACTACAAGTGGGTTCCATTTGTGTTTCTTGGTACCATGGAAGGTTGAATGTGGTATTTAAGGTTTTGGTTTGGTGAGAAGATGAAGAAAGATAAATTAATGGGGTTTTCTGGAAGCATTATGTAACCTTGTTTGAATATATATCCATATTTATAAACAACGACTCGAATAACGTTCAAATGACCTTTAAATATATTTAAAAATTAATGCAACTCTATTTAAATATAAAAATGTTTCCATCATATATTTGAATATTTCTATTTTAATATAAATATATAAAAATCTTTTAAATAACTTTAATAAGTCAAGTATTTTAATTAAATTATTTATTAATTGTAAATATCATGTTTTGAGATGGAGGACATACTTAGGTGGCGTTTGTTTTTTAAGAGGTGCTGAAGTCTGAAGTCTGAAGTCTGAATTCACTTCTGAATTTTAAGAGGTG